AGCTTCAGCTGACATCCCTAAAATTTCCAGAAATGCCTATGTTTTGTTCTTAACCCATGAGGTTCATTTAACCTTCCTTGATAACTTTAATAAAATATTTTGAAAAACCAATAATTATCTTTGAAGATAAAAGTAGATGTAAATTCAGTTTGGAGACAAATGTATATTATCAGGTCATTTTGTTCCTTGGTTAGGATCCACAAATACTGAAAACCACCAGTTAAATTTATTGAGTACTATTTAAAAAAAATTAAGTGATTCTTTAATATTGGACATTAACTGTTGAGAGGAAGTATTTAAACCCTTTAAACTCAGCTTCTGTATGATTTCAGTGAGGGAAAGCATGTATTTCCTGGTCACAGAAATTGTTGACCAAAATGACTATTCCTTGTACAGGTTGTTCTTTTGTATCTAATACCAAATGCTAAGGTGCGTAATTACTCATTTTTAGTGCGTGGCCTTGAGACAACAGACCGATGCAGTCACTGGTCACTTTCTCCTAAACTTGTATTTGAAAAATGTAAATATGCTGCTATAAAGCGGGTAACAAATGTTTCCCCTTGAATTACAAAGTCAGTCAGTGTCATTTACATGCACAGGTCTACAAACAAGAACAGGAAGAAGAACTAAAGAAGAAGCTGGCCAGTGACCCCAGATGGAAGAGATACAGGAGATGGATGAAGAACGAGGGGCCCGGGCGGCTGACGTTTGTGGACGACTAGAGGCCGCGGGGACACTGCTCTGCCACACCTTAGTCATGATGCCATTGTCACAACTGGGTCATTTCTGAGATGTGTCGACTGCCCTTCTGCAGGAGCTAAAATCCCTCAAGTGTTTGATTTAACAGAATAATGAAGAAATTTAAACTTTATCTTAAAACTTTATACATAAGACATTTATGATTCTTCAATTTTTTACAATCTATTTGTGGATTTTGTTAAAAGATTTGACATGCAGATTTATTAGTTGCCATATAAGAATTTTATATGTTAAAAGAGTTGACATGAAAATTTATTAGATACCATTGAAAATTTTTACGTGTTAAATGCTTATTCTTCCAACGTGTTCCCTTGTTCCTTGTTATAGGGCTACATTTTTCTGCTTTCCTGGCCTCTGATATTTTCACAAAACATAAAAAATTCTAACAGCATTTACTCATAGTATTCTGAGTGTCTTTCTAGACACAGACTTCAACAAGATGATTTCAATATTTCAATATCATCTTCATTACAGTCATTCTAGGATTGAAATACATTCAAAATGTCTCTCTAAGAGAGTCTCCTGCTAGGACGCCGCTTGCCGCCTCCTCCCCGGTCACGTGCTCTTCACACGGCCGGTGGGAAACTCTCCAGGAGAGTGAATCTATGCTCACGTCCTTGTAGGACGATCTTGATGACAGTCATTTTAGGACTACACCTGTTTCCAAACATTCTTCCAGAAGAGACCTTTTGTACCACTTCAATTTTTAAAAAAAAATGATGAAGCAGAAATAGTGTACTGAAAAGCCGTTCGTAGATTAGGAAGTCCTTGAGCGGTGAGAAAACTCTGTTGTACGTGAATACATTTACATGCATTTAAACCAGAAAAAAGAACCAACTGGCCACGTGCTGTTGTTCAGACAGTGAAATGTAAGCGTCTCATACGTGTGGGAGTGAAAGTAACTCACACATAATTTGAAACAAGTATGATACTGCACCAAAGTATCGATGCATATTCATGGTAGTGAATCAGAACTCCTGTTTTTTGTTTTTTTAGACTCCTGTTAAGGGATTTATCCCATTGCTTCATATTAATAAAATGGTTGCAATATATCAAGTTTGTTGGTATGACATTGTAAATCAAAGATTAACATATTGCTTTTGTATTATATAATTTTAAAAGACTAGTATAGGTAGTAGGTTTGCAGAGTCTGTTTCTAGCCAAAGTAAACCAGTCCTTTTGGGAGCTGAGCCCAAATCCGTGGCACGCACAGAGGAGCCAGAGGGCAGAGTTCTGTCCCTGCCCATGGAGATGAAGACGTGAAGTGAGGAGTCTGGTCTGTGGGCACTTGAACTGATTAGAAACCTGTGGGCGTTTGATGAGGTTATCATCGGGGCCCTTTTACAGATCTAAGATTCTGAAATGGTACAATATTTATATTTTTATACATTTTAGGTAAAAGTGTTTTGTGCCTCTATTCTTTTGTAGGAGCGTGGGGGGGGTGACAGAACTAAATTATAGGGAGCTGTTTCAAACCTCAAATGTCCAGCTTTTAAACGTCTCTCAGGATGCTGTGCTGGTCTGCAGAGGCAGCAGATGGCCCCTTATAATTCCTTATCTGTTTGACGCACAGTAGTGTTTATCTAAGAACAGATGTATGTGCCTAGTATTATACAGACCAGAGAGAAATGTGGGTACTTGCCCCTTAAAATTTTAAGGAGATTTCTGATATTCCAGGTTATCTTTTACCTACTAACAAGGAAAAATAAGAGGACTGGCTATGTTAGCATTCATCAGGTTTAGCTGATATTAAAAAAATGTATCTTTGGATATTATTTTGCTTATCTGCTCGATAGTTGTATTTCTTCCTTTCTGGATGATTCATTTCTGGCATTGTCCCAGCAGTCTGCTCACTTGGTGAAAATGCGGTCAGTCTTTTGGAGCCTTGGTCATGGTCTGGGTCAAGATGAATGGACTCTCGTTAATGGAAGGACTGTGGTCCTTCTCTCCTCTTCCCTCAACAAAACATGTTTCAAAATCCAAGCGAGAAGAAAGGGCCATTAGTTGGCCCAAGCACCATCAGGTCCTCTGCTTATCACCCACCAAACACCCAAACGTCTCCATCTCAGAAACATCTGGAGAAGAATCTTGGGCAGAGGATCCTGCAGCCCCTCCAGTTAGAAAATTTTTCTCGTGCTTAAGTTTTAGGGCCGTCACATTTCCTTTTCGCACTTGGCACGCAGGAGTGATAGCACATGGGTATTTACTATCACTTCAGGTAACTGGGATCTGGGCTCAGATTACTCAGGGTTACATTCACCTCCAACATCTTTGCAGCGGATTTCCTCGTACTACTAACCCTTTCCTTCCTGGCCATACTTCTTTATGAAATTCCCCAGGTTCCACAAATTGTACATTGCTGTGTCATTACACTTTTGGTAGGTACTGTGCCTGCATCTTAAACACTACAGTCGGTATACAGGATTTAAAAATGCTACAGGAAAAAAAAAAACAGTTGAAATTGGAGAATTAACAAATATTTTAGTACCATGGAATTTATGTTTAGAAAAATCATAGTTCATCTCCTTTGAGGTTCTTTGTTTGGTTTGGTTTGACTGACAGGGAATAAACTTGAACCCCCAGACTTTGGTGCTAATTTTGGTTACGTGGAAGCCAGTGCCAGGTCGACACTCAGCTAGTGTTATGAGCTGGTCTGCCGACCCCAGACTGAAAGTTCTGTGGAAATCAGAGAGACACGGCTTTTCTTAGATATTAGTATAAGTAAATCTAGCTACTTTAAGAGAGTAAATCAGACATGGTTTCTGGTGGGTTATGATTGTGCATTTGAGGCAGATAAATGTTATTCATACAAACTATTGTGTGTAATATAATTGATCTTATTGGCAAAAATGATACTCTTCACATTTTAATATGGGCTAAGGCCAAATCTGGAACCTAATAACTAAATAAAATTTGCTAACAAATTACCCTGGCTAGTTCCCTCAGCTGAAATGAGAGGATCTTTTTAGCTAATTAGGATACAAAATTCTGTAAGTCTGCAAGTTCACATAGGTTTAGGGTCTGAAGTAGATTAGATGGCCTGAAATTGGGAAATGTTGTGGGTAATTACTTTAAAAGTTTACATAATTAGTTGTGAACTTTAATCAGCTTCTCAGTACTTAAAAGTTTCAGAGTATCCTTGATAATTGTATGTGGAATGAGTCAGTTGGTCTCAGGTCAATGACGTAAGGTTTCTTACAGACTCCTCCCCGGTGTCAGTAGGGGAGGGAGAAATTTCATTCAACAGTCTCTCCTTGTAGAACCTCGGGAAGATGGAGCGAGAGGCCAAGGAAGATGCCGAGGAAGGGCTGGTGGAAGGGCTCGGGCTTTCCTGCCAACAGACCAAGCTTTGGTTTCTGGCTCTGCCGCTGACCAGCAGCTCCACTTTGGGCAGGTTAACCTCTGAACCTCATCCTTCATTTTTAAAAGTAGGGATACTCACCACTTCATATTATAAGAATTAAACAAGATAGGGGGAAAGTGTACAAAGTGCTCCGAAAAATAAGTTTCCTTGCCTTCAGAGGGAACAGGATTCATTCTCATTTGTTAAAATCCATGGTAATGGAGTGTTTACTGATGATTTAAAAATCCGTGTTTCTTTATTCTTTGAGTAGGTGTGTAGGTACTAAAGTGAGGAAAAGTGATGCTCCCCAGGGTTGGGGGTGGTGTGTTGTAAAAGCAGCCGCCTGCCTCTTGTTGCCTTTGGTGGTAAAGCGGCGGAGATGACAGTTCAGGAAAAAACTTTCAGAGAACAGAGCAATCGGCTACTCGCCAGTTTCAGGCCTGCCTTTACTGGAGGACACTTGTAATGAGGTGACCAGGCGGGCTTGGAACCCCTGCCCAAAGGACATCAAGTACCCCTAAGTCTCACCGTCTGGGAGTCCCACTGCCTGTGAAAATCTGGAGAAGCTGAATCTACAAACCAGCGGTTGGATCTTTAGCTCTTGGTTCATGCTAAGTTCTAAAAATAATGCAATGGGTATAAGGAAGTGAAATAATTTGTGATACATTATGTTGTGTCACATTAAATATTGTTGTTAAATGTGTTCTTGTTTCTTTTTAATCATTTTAGAAAACCGAAGATACAGATTACTGCCGTTTTGATGTAACATTGGCAGAAACACCCATTTCATTATTTTTATGGAGAAGAGTGAGTTATAGCCCCTTTTTCTGGAAGAAGAAAAAACCTTCTGTTAGTAAAAAGGTGATAAAAATATATGTCAAAGACGCGAAGGCCTGACCTGTGTGGCTCAGTTGGTTGGGCATCATCTCGTAAATCGGTAGGTGGCCGTTGGGTCGCCCGTTGACTCGCACGCAGGTTGGGGCGTGTTGACAGGCAACGATCGATATTCTCCTCCACTTTCCCCCTTTCTAAAAGTAAATTTTTAAAAATTAAAAAGAATTACAGTTGATAATAGGGACCCAAATGAGATGTTCGTGTTTGCAAGGACACTGACATCTCTAAAAAGTGCTGAGATGCAGCCGCCGGGTGGAGTCGTGCGGCTCCGGCCTCCGGGACAGACGCGGCTCTGCCCGTTCAGAACGCAGCAGGAGTGGGATTCGCAGGTCAGTTGGGCCCCAACCGCCGCGTACCTGCCGTGCGGTCCCAGCTGGGGCGGCGACGGGGCGGGCGCTGCTGCTTCCCCGCCCCCGGGCGGCGCCGGGGCTTTAGGGGCCACGCTCCGCCAGCCCAGCTCCCGCCCCGGAGCGCAGCGCCGCCGCCATGTCCGCCGGGGCCAGCGTGAGCGCCTTGCAGCGCCTAGTGGAGCAGCTGAAGCTGGAGGCCGCCGTGGAGAGGATCAAGGTGAGGCCGGCGGGGGCGCCTCCTCCGGCCAGTCTGACGGCCTAGGGCGCAGCCGTTGAGCCAGCGCGAGCGGCGGGCGGCCGGGCCCCTGCAGAGGCCGCGCGGGGCGGGCGGGGCGGCGGGACAGCTCCACCCGGCCCCAGCTCACTGCTCGCGCGGAGGGATGGGAGCCCACGCAGGGCCGAGCTGGACCCAGGCGCCGCTTCCCTGGAGCCGTAGGGACGTGGGTCCGAAGGGAAGGGGACCCGGCCCTGATGGAGACTGAGACTCGGCGGAGAGGAATGGGACGGACGTGGGCTGACCAGTGATGGGGTGGAGGCCAGAGATGCGGAGGCGACCGAATGAATGGATGGGCCTTGGTGATGGCTCGGAGGGAGGAGACTGGCCACGTTCAGGTTTCTGGCTTGGTGACAGCATGGATGGCGCGGCCATTTGCTACAACACGGGGGAGGGAAAGGGGGTGGGAGATGACGACTTCAGTTTTCGGTAGTCGACTTGAGATGTCCAGAAGGTATGTAGCGACATGGGCTGAAGCTCAGAGATCGAGGCTGAAAGAGAGAATCTGAATGTGCGCATATGGTGGGTGAAAAAGCTGCGTTAGCGAAGCAACCAGAGCAGGGAACCTAGGGACCAGACCAGCCAAAAGAGGTGGCTGAGAGAAAAGAACCACGGGAAACCAAGGTTTCTGAAGCAAAATTTGGGGCCTAGTCAACATGCCCAGTATTTGTTTGGTCAGTTCGTTAAAAATCATCTGTTGCCATACGGTTGTGGTGAGGGCAGGGTGTGGAGGCGGGTAAAGGGGGGAATGGGTGACATCTCCAATAGCGTCAACAATAAAAAAAAAAGCATCTATTGTGCAACTGTGTTCAGCAGCTCATGTACATAGCGTTGTCAGTAGAACGTGTGTGTCTGTGCACACTGCCCTGCTGGTCCGTGGGCCTCACTCGTGCATTTTCTCTGCATCCAGCACCGTCCTGGGTACTGAGAATATGGTGATTCTAGTGGGGATGATAAACAGTGAACACATTACCCAATAAATAAAACTATTTCAGACAATAAGTGATGTGCAGATTATAGAACATGGTAAAGAGAGGTGTGGAATGAAGAAGAGGTTTCAGTGGTGTTCCAAGCAGAATCTAGATTGTAATAAGGTGTGCAGACTTTAAAAAAAAGAAATATGGTTTTCAAGAGGAAACCACTTAATTTTTTTTAGGGAACAAAAAGCCATGTTTGAGGTTGAGGGGAAAGAACAAATGGAGGAGATTTGGAGGGGGAGGGGATGGGGGTCTGTCCTTTGGAGCATGGGATTGGAGGGGCACCCTCTAAGAAGGCAAGAAAGGGGGTAAGGATATGTATGAAGATGTTTCCAGATACAGACTTACGGACTTGTATGGAGACAGTTTTCTTTGTGAAATCCGAGGCCCGGATTTCTTCTAGGGCAGAGGAGAGGGAGCGAATGGAATCACCAGAGGGAGGGTGGGGGAGGGAGTGCTGTCAGGAGTGGGGGAGGATTCCGGAGCAGGCAAGTCCCTGGACACCTTGTGACTCTGAAGACCCAGCCACTGCGAGAGTGGAGACTGGTTGTCCTGCTTGTGATGTTTTCCCCTCTGGCAGCGTTTGCCCACCGGGGAATCTGAGTCTGAACATAGTTTTGGGTGAGTAGGGGAGGTATGCCAGAAAGATGCCAGCTGAGGTGGAGGGCAAGGAGTTTGAGGGTTTCCCCAGAAAGAGGCTGGACCTAGGCTGGATAGGGAAGGCGCAAAGCAAGCATCCTGGTGATGGGCTGGAGGAAAGGAGAGTGGGGTTCCCCCTGAGATCAAAGAGCAGGCTCAGTTAGACTAGAAAGCAGCACCCTGCAAGGGTAGGGGAGATTGCAATCGATCAGAAAATAGGATGTCGGAGTGTAGAATTTCAGATGTGGAGCGCTTAGCAGGTCTTGGCTGTGACTCTTGGCATTGAGGAGATGGTTGTTCAAGGAGAGGAAGGAGGTCAGGGAACTGAAATTAGGCTGTAGCAAGTGTTCACCATGCTGTTGCCACCTGAGTGGGAAAGGAAAGCTGAGCCAGATGCCTGCCTGCCCTGTGAAGAAGCTAGGGAACATACTCCTATCTGCATGTAAAACGTGATTGTGGGGGATGAAACTGAGACCCAGAAACTGAGAATTTGAGTGAACTGTTCAAGGTCACACAGTCAATACACTTAGTCGAGGGGTGTCCTCCTGGTAGCTTGGCAGGGCTTTTCACGAAGGCACATCAGGGAGTCACAAAGTGCACGGTCTGGGCCCCTCCTGTGGGGGCTCCGAGGTGGACATTCTCAGCACACCCAGACAGGTCTTCTCCTTCACTGGCTTGCTAACTGGTAAATAAGCCAGGACACCAATTTTCGAGCATCCCTTCCCAGTGATTGGGACGCTCTGTATCCTTCCAAGAACCCCTTCTTTGCTGTGGTGAAGCCTCTTGGAAGTTGCTGGGTGAACATGGGCTCAGACCAAGGAAGGTCATATGATTGGGGGGGGGGCATTATCTGCCTCCAGTAGCCAGCTATAGCTTCCAAGTGTTTGTTTGGGGTTTGAATTCTCCCAGTCCAAAGTGCTCGAGAAATGCTGACCACTTTTAGTTTCCCTGCGTGTCCTCTCACCTTAACTTTTTGACCACGTCGCTTAGGCTAAGGTTCAGTTAGTCCCATTTCTCAAGGGGTCCTGGGAGAGCTTCCTTCCTCTCATGTGTGGGGTTCACCTGTTCCCTCCGATACAGGGACAGAAAGCATGAGCATAATTGGTTCCAAATTTCTTTTGAATTAATGACTTCTAGATAGCCATTAATTCCAATTATAATTAATGTAAAAACGACAGACCTTCTGTTGAGGTATTAAAGGTAAGCTTAAACATTACTCTGTCAATGTTATATTTATATTGTATTTATATTATATAACATAAATGGTTGTTACATGAATGAAACTAAAATTTCTAAAAGCATTCTAGAAACTAGGTAGTAGCCTTAACATAAGGAATTGATTTTGCAGTTATTTAGAAGCTTGGAAAATTAACAGAGTGGTAGCAATACTCAAACAGCGATTGGAATCATGTTTGTACAATGTAGGTGAGTTTTTACACAGAACAGCTTTTCAGTGCAAGGAAAAGGGGAAGTGAGAAGAGGCTCCAAGTACAAATATGCATCAAATGGAGGATAAGAGGAAATGCAGGACAATGTTGAATCAGAGTTGACTAATTTCTCCAGAAGTTAGTGATTTCAAACAACATTTATTAACTCGCAATTCTTAGGCCAGCAAGTTGAGCTGGGATCAACTGTATAGTTACTTCTGCTGGTCTTTGCCGAGCCCTCCCATGGATCAGCAGTCAAATGGGGGGTTGGCTGGTGGCTGGGTGATCTGGGGTGGCCTCACTCACGTATCTGGAGGTCGTTAAGCAGGTGGCTAGGTGCTAGCTGACTGCTTCTCTTCCACAAGATCTTCAGTTATCTACCTTGGTCTCATGATTTTAGGGTTTCAAGCACAGACAGAGAGTTAACTGCAAAGGCTTTTACAGCCTAGGCTTGGAAGTTGCCCATTATTTCTACTAATTCTCCTGGTCAAAACTAGTCACAGGACAAGCCCAGGCTCGAGCAGTGGGTAAACAGACTCCAGCTCCTGGTGGGAGGAGTTGCAAAATAGTGTGGCTTTTCTGCACTCTGCCACACATGTATTGCTAATTATGTGTCAGCACTATTCTAAGTGCTTTGCATGCTGTTTACTCGATCTTCACATTAACCCGGTGAAGTAGGTACTATTACTAAATACATTTCACAGATGAGGAAACAGGTACTGAGAAGTTAAGAAACTTGCTCAAGCACATACGGGTAGTGACACAGCTGAATTTGAGACTAAACAGCCTGGTTCCCACCCCAAAGCAAGGGGGAAGAACTCCTGTCGCTTGTTTTGAGCATGCTGGGTGGGATTCGGGCCTTGTATACATACAGTAAAGCGGTTCACTCACCTAGGAAATGTGGACCTATCGATGCATACTTTATAAACAAAAATTTGTAAAGGGAACACTAGAATGAGCTACTTCTTTACCAATTGAGTCTCAGAACTAGGCTTCTATATGGATCGACACTGCTTTTTCTGTCTTTTGTTGAGTAAGCAACCAGCCAAAAATATCCTAAATCAGAGCTCATAGAAATGTAACCTTTCCTCTTTGAAGTTCATTATTAGACCTTTCAGCAAACCGGGGCTTTGGGAGGTCACATAAAGTGTGGTCAGGCCGTGTGATCGTTTTTCAGAATACCAGGTGGCTGCCGGGTGGGTCTGGCTGTGGGCAGCGCGTCAAGCTGTAGCCCTTTGGTTTCAGGTCTCCCAGGCGGCTGCAGAGCTCCAACAGTACTGCATGCAGAATGCCTGCAAGGACGCCCTGCTGGTCGGCGTTCCAGCGGGAAGCAACCCCTTCCGGGAGCCCAGATCCTGTGCTCTACTCTGAACACTGGTGAGTAACTTAGACCATGACCTGAGGCCATGGCACTGTCACAGGGCTTCCCAAAGGGTTTGGGCAGCTGTTTTGAATATCTACTGTTCTTGAGGGAATTAAAATGAAAACTAGCAAAATGCACAACTGTCCCTGAAGGGTGAGTCTAGTTTGTATTCGCCTTGCCTGTGGGTTACATCTAATTAAGAGAGTCTCAGTCCTCATTGGCAATAACTCATAAGCTTTAATATCCTTGTATGCTTGAGCTCTTTCACTGAGCTGGCTGGTGGTAATGTCTTGAACTCAGTCCTGTTCTCTCTGTCCTCACACCAACCCAGAGTTGTCGTTTGCTGCTTGGTGCTGCTCTTGGGACTAAGGACTCCCCCGAGGAGGAGACTTGTTCCTACTACCAGCCGTGGTTTCTTTCCTAAAGGCTTTCAGAGTATATCTTGGTTTTA